ACTTCTTGTTTGCTTGCAAAACAATGTAAATCAGCTCTACTGAAAAAACCTGTCTCACCATTAAAGGACTTTCAAGAATAATCCCAATATACTAGCTAGCAGTAAAGGGATGAAGTTGCATAGATTCTAAAAGTAACTTTTCTTGTAACATGCTACATGACTTACTGCAGTAACTCTAGAATTTAAATAGCAGTACCTCTGTCATGTTGTTATTTTTTTCACAAAGTAATGCAGTTTTCATAACACCCAAACCCCAAGTATTTAATACTACTTTGCAGTGAGCTTTGAGATGATACAGAGAAAGAAGAGCTGCCCTGCATATCCAAGGTCAACAACTGAGAAGGGAAAAAAATATCTCAAGAAATAGGGTAAAATAGCAGCTACACAATATGCTCAAGAAAGAAGGCAGAAGAGAACCAGGTGGCTTGGCAGGCATCCAAAAAAATGATGTTTAGAGACAAGAGATATGAAGTAACTTTGAACCATGAAGGTGAACAGGTAGGAAAAACAGACAGATGGAAAGGATATCAAACAAAGAGCAAAGCCAGAATATTCAGACACAATCAGAACATTGGTTAGTTATACCACCTACATTTCTGACTTCATCTAAACTGTGCTAGACAGTTTTTTTTAAAAAAAAGATTTGTCACCTTTACTAAGCCCCAGTAGACTTTGGTGAAAATACCAATACTTAAATAGAAGAACTAAACACACTGAAATCCACTTTACAAAAAAATATCCAACTAGAGCTCAAAATCCTGTACAAGCAGCTGTGTTTAAACAATGTTCAGCCTGCACACAGTGCACAAAAGCCAGAAAACTTTTTCATATCTCTCCAGCCAAGCAGGAGTGTCTTACTGAGGCTGAGCTTCGTTAAACAGAAGTTTCACTACAGTTTTATGCACTTCGGATTTCAAAGGTTACCTCTAATGAAGGAAATCAGTTCAGGAGTGTAATAAAAGCTATTGTTCTCCTGAAAGGTCAGTAGACTCAACAGCTTGTCCAAGGGTGAAAAGGTCACACCTCACCCTTATACAGATAAAGCTCCCACTTAGTCTACTGCTAGAAGTTACTTAAAGGTAAGCCTTTCCAACAGGGTCACCTATTTTCAAAGCTTCCCAGAGCTTTCCCCAAATCACAGACACAGCAATTAGATGTGCCTACATACTTGCATTCTCATTACATGTGAATTTATTTCTTTGCTCTCAAACAGTAAGGACTGACCCCTTTCATCCTATGATACCAAGTATCTAACAGCCGTTCATCAACATCATTTGCCCTAACGCAGTCAAAATGGCAATACTGACAGTGGAGAATACACATCAAGTGCTTGACTTCTATGAAGCTAGAATCAAACCAATATGATGCTGAGTCCTCCAAAGATAAGTGGTGAAGATACTTTTGCCAAAGTAAATACAACTGCTAATTAGCATGTTTTTACACATTCTTAAATTCCAGCCCATCCCCTCTTCCTCCTAATCCAGAAACCATCAAGTCATTTTGAAGTGGTGTCTCAGAGGGGAATTTTCCAAGAAATGCAAGAGTAACTGTGCTAAAACTTAAGGCTTTAGAAAGTAAGTACCAAAGTCAGCAGTACACACTAATAAGGATGAAAACAGAATTAAGTGCCAAATTGCAGACATTATCAGAATGGGCTACTGTCTAGGAACAGTAGCAGTCTTCTAAAAATTCTCTCCCTTTATAAACTTATTATGATCATGCCAAGTGAGGAGAAATGATACAAATACTATCTGCACTGGCTTGCAGTAAGTTGCTCATTTTTAATCAGGTTTTAAAAATACATTTAGAAGTAAGCACAATGGGTTTTGATTATGCATTTATATATGAGAGTTTTGCCAACAGTTTATGCTCTCTTAGCTAACTGGAGAGTAGATTTGTATGTATTTTGTGTATGAACAAAAGTAGAAACATTAGGAAAGCAAAGTAAGGACTCAAGGGGATAAACTAACAACCATATCCTTTGAAACTGTATGTGACCTTATATTTGATCCGGTAGAATGATCACACACTGAGGCACTCGACAAGCAGTCTGTAAAAACAAAATTCTGAACTAACACCAAGGTAACTAGCATACAGGACTGATACAAAAGCCAGATTATTTTATTCCACGAAGGCAGCAGGGATCTCAAACACATTACATACAGCTTCTAGAACATCCCCAATTTACATCCTTCTGCTGCCAAAAATCAGACTCCTGCAAGCTGCCAACGTGCTGAGTCACAAGTACTTGTTACTATATATGCTAAAAGATGATTCACGTCATCGATTAGCCGCATTCACCTGCTAACCTCGGAATTTCAGAACGGCCGGGACAACGCCAAAATAGGCACTTTTTATCTCAGGAGGGAGGCTCCACGCTCGCTGCAGCTGTTTCTACCGGCTCCATCACCGTTACCGTCAAGGCCCCGGCCCCTCCCCCGGCTCCGGGCCGAGGCGCTGCAGTACCAGCCACCCCGCACCGCCACCCTCCCCCGGGCGAGGGGGGGCCTGACGCAACGAACCCAGGCCCTTCCACCTCCCACCCCGGGCCAGCCCCCCGGCCTCCCCGGGCCCAGGCGGTGGGTCCGGCCTCGCCCCGCCGCCCCACGCCGGTGTGCGGAGCGGGGGAAGGATGCCCGCGCCGCCACAGAGAGAGTGCGGAGGCGGATGCGCAGCCGGTCCCCTCAGCCTCCTGCCCTCCGCCCAGAAATGCAAATCTGACAAAGATTTTTTTATTTCCTTTTTTTTTTTTTGAAAAAGGGAAAGACGGAGACCCTCATTCCCCGCACCTCCTGTGCCGGGAAGGGGCTCAGACTCCCAGCGACCAGCCGGCCCCGCCCCCTCCCCGCAGAGCCCAGCCACCCTCCTCCTCAGCGCTGACCTGATGGGGCTGATGCGCAGCTGCTCCTCCCGCAGCCCCCGCCAGGCCCCCGGCAGGAACTCCTTGCACCACAGATACGCCTTGCGCCGCGTTCGGGGGTCGAGCGGCGGCTCCTCCTCAGGCGGCGGCGGCGGAAGCAGCAGCGCGGAAGGCGGGGTGGCGGCGCCCCCGCCTCTGCCCGTCGCGACGGGGTCTTTCCCCTCAGGGTCTCCGGGAACCAGCGGCGAGGGGGGCTGGCCGGCCGCAGGAAGGACGACGCCGCCCCCGCCGGAGCCGGGGCTGCAGCCGAGGAGGAGCCCGAGCGGGGAAGGGTCGGTCTCGCCGTTACAGAACTTGGTCTTCATGGCGTGAGGCAGGTGGAGGGGGGGTGCGGCGGGCGTTCGGACGAAGAGCGGGCGGGAGCGACAGCGCGACTCTCCCCCTCGAGCGCCAGCGGCGAGTGAGCCGCACGCCCGCTCCCGGCCCCCCTTTTTATACGCAGCGCGGCACGCGGGGCCCGCTCGGCTCACGCCTTTTCCTTCCATCCCGATTGGCTGCCGGCTTTCGGCTCCGCCCGGAGCGGGGGTGGGTAGGGGGAGAAGCTGCGAGCGAGCGCGAGGGGCGCGCGTGCCTTCTGCCAGCGCCCGGAACGCCTGCTGATTGGTAGGAGAGGGAGCAGGCTCGCGCCCTCGCCGCCCTCCTCCCACCCCCCCCAACCCCTTTCCTGTGCGCGAGGGGCGGGCAAGGAGCACACCGATTGGCCGTTCCCCTAGCGACCAGCGCGCGCGGCTCGGGGCGGGGGGCGCAGTGCAAGGTGACACCCCCTCTTTCCCCCCCGGCTCCTCACAGCGGCCGCCGGCCCCGGCCCGTCAGATCCACCCCGTGCCCCGCTTCCCCTTCCCGCCGGGCGCAGCCCCCCCACTGTGCCTGTCGCTGAGGGCTCGGCCCCCTCCCGGCGCTCCCACTCCGCTCAGGCCTGAGGAAGATTTAATGGGGGAGGTTCGGGCCACAGCGGGGGTTCAAACGGGTTGTGGGGCTGAGCGGGAGGTGAGCACCGAGGGCTGAGGGAGGGAGCTGGGCCGGGGCCTGGGTCACCTCACGGTGGGCTGTGCGGTGAAGCTGCCTTCCTTGCCTTTTTGATTATGGGGTGTTTAATTGAGCTGGTGCTCCTTCAGGGCCGGCCGTGCCAAGGCTGCGTAAGATGCTGGTGTCATTCATTCCCGTGACATGCCACGAAAACACGTGAGAGATCTCTGTGCTGTACAAAGAGGATTACAGCAACCAAAAATATGTTTATTTAAACTCTACTTCTTACGGAAAGTTACTGAGTTACTTAGTTATCATGTGCGAGGGCTGACTCATACCTATATGGTAAACTGGTCTCTTGGCTCAAGAGAAGATCATACCTGAACAGAAGGGTAAGCTACAAGAAGAAAAATAATTTCCACATGCAGTGCTTCAAAGTGGAGTTTCTTTGTTAGTTTTGGTGGCAGAAAGACATTCTGTTACAGAAACGTCAGCCTTCTGGTCCTTCGCAGCACACGGGGATTGTCAGAGCTGTGATGTCATGGGCAGCTGGAAGAAGCCCCAGCTTTCCCAGCCCTCCTGCAGCCAGAGGGGATGAGAATGTTGCCTAATATGTTATATCGCCTTGTCATAAATGGGCAATAAAAGAATAAATCATCTTTAAGCTTTGAACAATCTTTGCACTTCCTGGATTTTTTGGCTGCTCTCCCTTGATGGTCTTTTACTGTATATAATAGAAGCTTGTGGGCTCTTTGGATAATAGTTCTCATCCCGGAGATCATTGTTAAAGCTGGTTTGCAAGGGATTTCCTGATATGCTGCTTCCCTCCCCAAACTATTTCACCGCATGGGCTGATCCTTTGTCTTGTCTGCACGTTTCACTTTGGCACACCAGTGCTGGAAATACCCATATAGCCCAGGGAGAAGTGGCAGGAAAGCTCCAGAACTGCTTTCTGCTGGCAAAGCAGCTTCAGCACAACCAGAATGCTCTCAGCTGCAGCATACCAGACCCTAGTTTAGAGGAAGAGTTATGTATGCGTTACAGATGCCAAACTGAAACAGAAGTGACGTGAATTTCTTTTCTTCCCTTTGTGCCTCAGCTCTTCATTTACAAAAAAAAAAAAATAATCCCTTAATCTGGGCGCAGATCAGGATGCTGGAGAGGGGACATGCAGTGGCTGCTGGAGATGGCAACACTGGGCTGCAGAGAAGGCCTTTCTTCTGCAGATCCGTGCTAAAGTAAGTACCTGACAACATCTCTATGTTGAATAGCTAAATACCAGAAAACAGTTCTATGGACGCAGTAAACGCTGGTGATATCTCTAAATGTGGGAAGAAGTGGTGAAAATACCAGAAAACTGTCTTTCAAACTGGCCCTTCTGTTTCCACATGCTCAAGTTTCACACTACATTGTCATATTATGGGTACCAGGACTGATTTTTTTCTAGATTGCTATTAGTGTGGAAAGAGAAGGCAGAAAAGTCAGAGAAATAAAAATAATGTTTTTCCTGGGTAGAGAGAATTCTATCCAATTTTACTAGATAAGAAAACTCCAACTTGATACTGGCCATTTCACCGACATTTGTTCATACCCAGTCTTAAGCTTTGCTTCAAAACCTCAAATAATCTCTTTCAAAGCCTCAGAGAATTCAGAAGGAGATAGGAAAAATTATTACTCTATTTGTTTTATATCTTTTTGATTACAACACACCCTTTATTAGCATCAGTCTATCTTGGGTTTCAGTCCTGTAATGACTTCAGTTTTGATAAGTATCCTGGATCCATATGAAGCCCAAGCACATATTTCCTTAGACATTTGTTCTGCTCACTACATCATTTGTTGTTTTAACACTTCATTAGTAGCTAGTATCTCATTGTAATTTATTGTTGAGTTTACAAAAAGGGTGTAACTCACTTAAAACTGTTCAGAATGTTTTACAACAAACATGATCTATCTTTTGGGGAGCCACAAATGTATTCAGTGCAATAAAGGTGAGAACAAAGCGGTAGAGGAAGTAATGGTAGAAATAAAAGTGAGTAATCATAAGCTTGCAGGTTTAGTTGATATGTAGGCATACTGATATGTTGCTTGCCAAAATTCTTTTTCTTTCATTATTCCCAGAGAGTAAGTGTTGGTTAGGGAATTCATTATTGGTTAAGAGGACTTTCATCTTTAAATTGTGGGTAATAATTCCTTATAGGCATTTTATCTCACCATTGAGCATTTCAAGTGCAGTTGGTTTGAGCGGGCAGGAAGCCACGTGGCAGCAGTGGCGAGAACTTGGTCTTATTGAAAGCCCAGGCAGCAATGCCAGAGGTGAATGGTTGGAGAGCATGATACAAACCCCAGCAGAGTATGTGGAAAGAAAGGTGCTGGTTTATAGAGCACCTATTTTTCATACAGGAAAATAAATAAATTTCTGCTCTTACCCAAAAACTTCCCTGGTTTGGCTGAAAGCACACAGGAGGAGCAATGTATGAGAAATTTATACCGCTCTTCTTCATGCAGTATATTTTAAATGGATAAACAGAGAGAGAGGGTCTTCTAGAGCTACTAAGATGTTACTTTTCATAACTTTTATGTCCACATTCAAGTAAAACGATCAAAAAAAAAACAAGCCTATTTTTTCTACTTGTATATGTGATTTTTTTTCTGTTCCTAAGGAGAAATCTGTTACACTTAGATAACCCATATAGTCAAAATCAACAAAACTAAGGCTTCTGCTAACATCAGAATATATTGAAACCCAAAAGGCATCAGAAAAAAAAACTCAAATAAGGGAATTAAGTACTGAATTACTGGCTCAAACACTCCAAGACTGAATGGTTAGAATACTGGACTTGGACTTGATTATGTTCTCAGCAGCAACTGACCCCTGTTTCCATTTCTTGTGCACTAGAAGCACCTTCTTGTTAGGTAACAATGTAGTATCTTACCCAGTGGATTAGTCAATCAACCAGCCGTCGTCTTAAGTAACGGAAAGAGGCAAACGTGTCTTCATGTTCCTGATATCAGATTTTACACCATAGCAACCAAACTGCATTAGCAGACTTTTTTTGTAGATAGCAGACATGGGTTCTGTATCTATGTTCAATTTCTGATTCCATCTAATAGGTTAATCTACAGTAGGATCTAATAAATCAGACCCATTAAGAGAATAATTCTTCAGCTGCCCGTATCCCCCAGATAACCTAGCTTTAAAGCCTGTGAAGGAAATAGTGGTGAGATAAGTAGGGTTAGGGCACAGACAAAACACATAGTGACTAATTACGCCATAAGCAAGGTACAATCTGGACTAAGGTCCCCTCTTCTGGGGTGAGCAGAGGCTTAAGAATTTGTATGACCTCCGCTGTCAGTATGGAGGGAGACAAAACTACTTGTCCCAGGAATCTCTTTCCCCCCCCTACCCCTGACAGTAAAAAACATTTTCTTTCTCTGTAATTTACTTTTCCCTCAGCCCCATACCATGATCATGTAATCTATTACGTCAGTGGCTGAACAGAATGTAATGGTCAGTGAGTCCACTACTTCCTTTGAAGTAAGGGGACACTTCTTCACAAAGTTTCTACTTTACACTGGTTCTGAATGCAGCCTTCATCACATATTCAGTCAGAAGGGCACATGTCTCTTCTGTAACAGTATAACAAGAACGATTTGTTTTTATTAATTTGTGTGATTTACTAAAGCTTATTAGAATATTTTTTTCCCAGTTTTCTGTAATACTTGTATATCTGCAGCAAAGTTGGATTGACGCATGATTTTATTCACCCCAGATGTATTGGTGCAGTAGAAATTGCTTATTGCTCACAAAAGAGCTAAGTCTAGAATTCTGACTCATAAAGCACTTAATTTTCTTTCACAAGTCTTTCTCGCTATTATATTGAGCGGCAGTAGATTTTACTGGCAAGATCAAATGCCAGCTAAGACCAGATCTGCCACATGGCACAGAGAGAATGACACTTTTGTAGAAGGATGCAGATACTTATTTAAGCTGAAGAGCTTGCAGACTTCTTAACAGCAAATGTCGACAAACATTCCCTATGGACCGGCACCAGGTTGCTGTTGAGTTTGTGAATCCCGTTTCTGAAACTAGGCTGAGGCCGGAGACTTTGCCTTGGGAAGTGTGCAATTGTTGCAAGTGTGGGTGGGAGCTCAGGGCTGTCCTTGAGTCCCTTGGCCTCTTGGCTCCCCTCCTGGGCACACTGCTCGCAGGGCAGCATTTTGCGATAGCAACATGTTCTCAGCCTAGTTCTGGGTTCAAGTTGCGCCAGGGAGACTGCTTTCATTTCTTGACTTCTTGGTTCTACATCTGGTAAGACCCTTGATGAATTGTAAACAGATAGTGAGGCTGCTGTTTCTTACTCCCTGCATCAACAGCCAAAAAAATTAAAATGCTACTCTGAAACCCAGGGATTATGAATGTTTGAAGTTCTGTTAGCCACCTAGGCAAGATACAGCTGCAAGAGACAGGCTGCACATCCCCTCTTCATCTTCCTCAGTGATAGGAAGGGTAGCGAGATCATGGCAGAAAACATTTTCCTAGATCTGTGTCTCCAGCAACAATAATACATGGAAAAATAGGCAATAAGCAGCCTAGGGAGGAGAATAGGGGAGCAGAATATTTCACCCAAAGCCCCCTTTGCTCTTCCTTTATCAAGAGAATTTGCAACATCTTCTGTGCGTTGATTTTAAGAGAGAGAGAGAATTTCAGAACTACTTTTGAGATTATCATAGGTTGTTTTATTTTCCTCCTGTGTTTGTTTAGTTTTGAGCACAAAATACCAGCAAAAAAACAAGGTGCAACTTTGGCCCCTGAAGTATACCTGCCAGAGCACACAGGGTTAACAACAGCTAAAGATGAGAGATTTACCCTCGGCACTGACTTGGTATTTATACATCTCCTGTGAATGCAAGGGAAGTGTTACAGCAGAAGGCAGCCCTACCGAAAGGATAATATGCTCATTCATTTGCTATGTTGGTCTAAGATAACCACAAAGATCCAGAGCTCGTACAGTGCCAGGTACTCCGAGCAGTACGCTGAGATAACATTACCTGGCTCAAGTCCCAGACAATGACTTTTCTTGGAGTCAGACTGACCAAGCCTTTATTATATTACAAGTTACTTAATTTCTTGCTCTGCACCAATTTCATCTCATTGAGGATACTCAGCTGGAGAACTTTCTCAGGACGTCAGAGAGATTTAAAAATCCAGTAAGGAATTAGCTAAATATTCTCTTATTTCTTTTAAAAGCCCCAGCTTTGAAACTCCTGGTTGTGCAGGGTACTGTGGTATAGTAACAGCCTCAGACGTAGCTGCAACCCGCAGAACAATACACCATGAGGTGATATCACTTTTAATACAGTCCCAGTTCAGTAATCTCTCCCATGAGTTCAGGCACTTCAACATCTGTTTTACTTTTGGACGAGCTCTTCCACAAACCTCTCCCGGCTCCCCCCGATCCCCAGCAGAGTTCAAGAGTGCAGCCACGCAGCCTTTGTCAAACGAGATTCTTGAAGCAATCTCCCCTCCCAGCCTGGGGACTGTGCAGAAATCCCCTCGCAAGGGAGTCCTCCCAAGCTATGCTCAAAGAAGAAAACAGTTGCTATAGTAACCAATTCTCTACCTGTACTGAATTGGCTCTCTCTTTCCTCTTAATCTTCTCTGGTTTTATTAGTTCTGGGCAAGAAGCAGCTCATCAGGCCAGGGCTGCACTTGGTTGTATGGGCTGGAGGAGCCTGTGGAAGGCACCAGGGAGTCCTCGCCCATCAGGTGGTCCTTGCTTGCTCGCTTCACCTGCTGGAGGATGTCCTGCCTGAGGTTTGCCACCGCTGCTGTTTTGTGACAGAGCCACCCAAGCTGCAGAGGAACAAGCTCTTTGCTTTCCCTTCTTGCCCCTGGCTTGTGGCAGAACCCTATGTTGTCTGAGACCAGACCTGCCACTGGTCCATAAGCTCACCTGCACATCCTTTGCAACCTCACTGGCATAGGTTTCAGCCTGATAGTGGAAAAAGAAACTGGATACAGTCTATTTTCTGTGACAGCACATATTTGCAACTCTTCCTAGGGTTAAAAGTGACCACATTAATCACTGAAAATACTCAGAAAGTTCTAAACTGTGCTAAATTGCATCTTTTCCAGTATGTCTACTGTGGCCAGGCCTTGTACTAACAGTTTTCTGCATTATTAATTCCAGTGTGGAAGTTTATAGCTGGAAGCCAAAGAAACCTGCTCTAAGGAAGAGCGTGCCAGAGCCACCTCTAGCTGTTTCAAGCGTGCAACACAGGTGAATCGCCTGCACAAGCTGGGGCAAGCTCCCCAGACACCAAGTGAACTAGCATGAGGTAGGTATGATGTGGTGACTAGGGAGGGGAAAAAAAAGCCACATAATTAATTACCATGGATGTAATAATAGTCACTAACAAAAGGCTGTGGGGGATCGTGTAGGAAAAAGCTGGTAATGCACTATAACAGGGCATCAGGCACTGTCTGCTTGTGTTAAATGCTCAGAGCCTGTATGCAGTGAAGAACCCAAGAGCATTCACTGGACAGAAGCATGGACAGAGCAGGAGCAAAGTGAATTAGAAAACTTCATTCTTATGTTCATGCGTCTGCCATTAACATGATAGTAAATGTTCTCTATTTATATACAATGCAATTAAAAGATTCAAGAGCACACCCACATCAATATGTTGCTTGAACAACAGCCAGTAGTAACATAAAAATGTGCGTATGTTTCTAAAACCTTTTAAAATCTATTATTGACCCAACTAATGACGTAGATCACAGACTAATCTGAAAATGACTTGGACTTCAAAAATATCTTTTTTTTTCCTCTCCCCTTTTGCTCATTATGCAACAATTTGCTATGCTAAGCATGCATAGCAATCAACTAATACCAAGCTGAAATAACTGATTTGTGATGGAACTTGCAACTCCAGTACTGCTGGTTATTCAAGCATGCTGCAGTTTTTTTCCTATGTTAAGATGTAAAAGGGTGGATTCCAGATACGGATTCCAGACACTGTAGTTTCAACTTGGGCACTGATTGTACTTAAGTAATTGGTGTAGTTTTTATGGCATCCATTTTTATGGCAGAGTTTATTCTTTAAGCCAAAGAATGGTTTCTAGCTGGTTATTTCCTCATGGACTGTTAAACCTCTACCATGGGCATAATCAGAGTAAGGACGTGGCAGAGAGAAGTTTCCAAATCTTTGGGGAGCCAAGCCTGCAGCAATGGGACTCTTGCTGGCAGAGCCTGCGGCAAGATACATGCTGTAGGCAATAGCTTCAGCAATTCACCTCACTCAGAGACATTTGTTCCTTCCCAGTGATAAAAATTAGCAGCCTGAGGTTAAAGGAAGGTCATTAAGTTAGAAAATGTTTCCAAATATGCAGCAGTATCATTATTCATGGGGAACTGCCTGCCAAAGAAGTGGTAACTGGACTTAAAACATACACGTGCTGTAGAGCAGACAGGGTAAATACAGGAGGATCAGCAGAACAAAGAAGTTAAAGCATTTCAGGGAGATGGCTGTGTTCTTCTTCCTGATATACACACACACGCACACGTGGTGATTTTCAAGTGTTCTAGGCTGAAACCTGGAAAACAATAGGCTTCTTGTCTGTTTTACACAGACACTGAAGATTTCTTAGCCTGTCTGAAGAGTTTTAACACATCATTTCCATTTATAGGAGGAAACACACCGCTCTAAATTTCCTGTTCTGATTTATTTCATTAAAAAAAAACAAACAACACTCTTCCAAAAGATCCAATAGCATTTACAAAGTCAGTTCTTTGCCCTAGTATCTTTGACTAACAATATCTTATTGTTGTAAAGGTCTTTAGACTTTCTTTATTCTTTTTATTGCCATATTGGCATAAAATTAGTGGGGTTGATTTTTCTGTGAAACACTCCATATCATCCCAACAAATAGCTTTCATTTAGAAACAATCACTGGTAATGCCGCAGAGGTGAGGGTAACTTTATGTACAGCCAAAGTGATTTTGTGATATACCTAAACTTAAAAACTGCTGGGTTTTCACCCCAGAATTAAGCTTACTGTTAATTGTTACTGGAATAGTGTTGCACACTGTAAAGGTTTTTTACTGTGGCATTTTGTAATTAACTAATTTAATCCTACTTTTTTTTTTTTTCCCCCCATTTTGACACAGAGGAATAACACAATTGCTCGTGAAAACTAGAAAATCGTCACCAAGCAATTAATCCAGATTAGGAACCCTCTGAAAATAGAATGAAACCCATTGTCTCTTTAAACAAGGCACATTGCACTCCATTACAGGTATTTAATAGATTTATGAATTAAATACTACATGATATAATGAATTTGTCCTTTCCAATCTGATGATAACTTGTGCCAACTGAATTTGCAAATCTGTCTTGTTATGTATTAACCAGTCATCTGGGAATCTGATTGAGTAACACAGAAGTTGTTGCAATACCAAGACTCCCATATAAATCATGCCTGAGTCCTAAGTAAATATTGGTTCAAATATTGAATCACATGAGAGATATGAGTGTAGTTTAAGAGGTTACAGGTGCCGGCTGAACCACTTTAGAAATGACCACTCCCTCCCGAGTTCATTTGAGATTCACAACAAAGTGCTTACTTCACTTTGAATTCATGAGAACAGAGCATTTCCCTTCACTTTTGATGCTGACACTCTCTATATCAGAATCTATTTTTGATGCTCTAAAATCAAAGGTACCACATCATGTATAAGTACTAAGTTATTCAGTCATTTATACTCAAGATAGATGTAACATCTGGGAAGAGGAGAGTGAGACACAAGAAGTTATTTTTTGTGGGGCACTGAAAGCAGGAGGAGAGGGAGACATGCAGGTTTTTTCCTGACATACAGATGCCATAACAACTGCTACCCAAAAAATCCAGAAGAAGGAATTTGAGGTGAAGGAAACATCCAACAACAAAATGAAAAGCTATCTTCCACACTTCGGAAAACAGGAGTCTCTCATCAGCTGGAGGAAGCTCAAGGGAAAAGGAGTGCCATCCCATTTGTTTTTACACTAACTATTGTGAGTCACATCTACACTAGCAATCTACTCTCCTGTTGCCGTATAGAGATCTCCTTCCCTTAGCCTTGAATCCAGTCGTTCTTCTGAGTAGGATGAACACAGATCCTTCTGGATACATTTCAATTACAGATCTAAACACGAATGAGTTTCCCAGAAGTCCCCTGGGCACTTCTGTCTTAGCAATTCATAAGCCAGCAAGTAGAGAAAAGAGCGTGTATGCTCCATTCCAGGCAGTCTGAGTAAGTGGACTGTGAGTAACACAAGCCAGCTGCTCTAAATCTCCAAGTCTTTTGGATAGTCACGTTTAAGAGTGGCTCTGTGATTGTAATTCACTAAGCAAATGTTTAAAAATTTTACATCACAGAAATTAAGTTCTTGTTTTGAGCACTTTAAATAAGTACATTTACATCAAAAGATCTCAACCTTTTAAATGTAGGAAGCCTGGCATACCCTTGTCTCTTATATTAGCTCATTGCTTTTCTAAAGGCACAGAAAGTAAACCTATGCATTGTCTTAGCTTGCAGAGTAACACTGTTTTCTTAGTAAAATTTGTAAGAGGAGTGGTTGGAATCAAAGCTTAGAGCATCACACCATGTGAGACGTGACATAAATCACAAAAGTTTGGAAGTAAATAACCAATACCTAACTAGCCACTGAATTCAGAGTAATTAGAATCATAGAATATCCTCAGCTGGAAGGGGCCATGAGGCTCATTGAGTCCAACTTCTGACTGCACACAGGGCAACCCAAAAGTTAAACCATACATCTAAGAGCATTGTCCAATGAACAAACTTCAAGCTTCTTCAACACTGACAGACTTGGTGCAATGACCACTTCCCCAGGGAGCTTGTTCCAGTGCTTGACCATGCCCTCAGGGAAGAACTTTTTCCTAATATCCAATTAACCCGCCAAAATATTTTCCAAGTGACACTGTCACTACCATATGCTTTTCACAGCGCCACAGCACATGCAGAAAAATCACTGCGCATTGAACTGCTCTCTGCACAGACTCTCCTTGCCACGGACACATCCCATGCATGTGAACTGAATACTTTTTGGCCTGCGGTATCTGCTGTGGTTGAGTCTCCCTACACTCCATGGAATGAAGGGCAGAGTGAATTCAGTTATCTCTCCATTCCTTCTAACTGCCAATAGCTGTGAGACAAAATCCCCACTTCCTCAGCACATTGTGCAATTTAAACCCTTTCCTTACATATGCAGTTAGCTAGCATATTGCTCTGAATTGTGCAAGAAATTCTTTTGTCCACTGGTTGACAAACTAGTTAGTATTAAGGACTTTTTTTGCTATTGCAAGCTAGCTTCTGTGGCTGAAACAAACTTCTGTTGGTTTCCAGAGGGTCTCTAGCCGTATTTTTTTTCCCTACAGAAGCTGCCTTATCTGCCACAGGAATTCTGTTTGACAGTTCACTTCAAAATGAGCCTCCATTTTGGGAGGTCCATTTTGGGAAGGATTTGGTCAGATGGAGATATGCCTCAGCTTCTCCTCAAGCTTTGACATGGGCCTGGAAAATCTACCTACCCTGAGAGAGCATAGAACTCCAGCAGCCTATGAGACCTCTCTGATACGACTTCCAGGGGGGAGGTCAGGGATCTCAGCTATGCACCTCACCAAAGCGTGGCATGCTCCACAGCCAGTCATCAGGTAATGCACCCAGAGGTTCATTGCTGCATCTGAGCAGGAGGATGAGAGGGGCCACAGTACTTGTTCCTCTGCATGTTACTGTGGCATCTGCACCCCAGCTGCCTGGAAGAGCTTGTACTGCCACTTGAAGAAATGCCAGGAGCAAATTCAGTGGCAGTGAACATCAGCTTGGGGAAGTAGAGCTGTGTGGTACCCAGCAGAACAACTACGTCAGACATAGGCTGAAACAACTAATGTAGGAACTACAAGAAGTGCTGCTCTGGACTTGATGCACACCTCTCCTGCTTGGAAAAAAGATCTCCTCAGCCACTTTGCAGTTCTCAGTGCAACATTGGAGCAGAGAAAGTATTCTAATCAAGGTGTGGTCAATTATTGTGTAATTCACTCTCAGCCCTTCTCTCATGCTGGGTTCAGGGAAAGGGGGCAATTTTGTACTAGTGTCACAGCCATTACTATTTTTAGAGGATTTTCTCCCAGCTTCTAAACAATAACATGTAAGAGTTAAGACGTATGCTTTTTGGGCACGCTTGAGATGGACAAGTACCAAAATAAATCTCTATCTCAGCAATTGGCTTTACTACAAGAAATAATTCTAGCTCATCAACCAAGTAAACTAAAAATTATTGTGATTACAGGGCTCCACATTAACAGAAAAAAAATCCAAATTAATTCTGACTCCAAGCACAATATCTGCAAGATTACTGTCATTCTGAGGTCTTCGGGAGGCTCTCTTCCAGAGGCACATTCAAATAAGTATAAGTTCTTCCAAGCACAAGTAGGCAATTTGTTTCCTTATTCTTGATTTTGCCAGACATTGTTTTGCAAGGCTCTTTGAAACCCGCTAGTGGACAAGAAGTTTTTTCCTTGAGGAATGGATGAAAAGGCCTACTTAAGCCTTCATAAGAGGTTTCCATTTTTCACTTGTGCCTACTGAGGCTATGGCTGCCAAGGCTATTGCTAAAAAAGGTTTTATTCAAGAATGGATAACTCGCTTAGCACATTGACAGAGTGTACAGGAGCTTGGAAAGATCTTGGTAAGGTGCTCCCCATGTATGCATGTTTTGAAGATGTCTTGAAACATGCTGCTATCCTCTTTTCTTGTGACTTACCATTCCCCTCCTCCTAGAGGTCCACTCTCGAGAACCTGACAGACAAAAACACAGCCACACAGCATGTCAACAGAAGTGCAGAGCCAAGCCATCTCTTCCCTGTCATTAGCCTGTTTGGCTTGGGACTTTGTGCATTTGTCCCTAGAGGGTAACAGTGTCCACATACCTGCCAGGCAGCTGGTGTTCCCTGGTACAGCCCCAGTGGTCGTGTTATCCCGAGGAGCTGGGAGGCAGAGGCTCAGCGGTGATGGCCCCAGCCTGGGTCAGACCATTCTGGCACGTACGCGTGACTGGGCTGTCAGCATAGCCTGAGGGATGCTGCCCGTGCTGGCTCTAGCTGCCCTTCAAAATCCTTCCTCGTGGCTGCATGGCTAACTGCCATAGAAAGGCGCCTCTTAGTTAAAGTTCAAACAAAGTCTGTAGCCAAAAAAATGACTCCTGCTCCCTTCCAGCCCTGAATTAGAATGACTTCAAAACAAATAGAGTGACCTCAAAAATCAAAAATAGAAGCGCTGTTCAATCACCACCTGCCTTCCTAGAAAATCCTATTTCCATCATTTACACTTACTGGCAGGCCCTGCAGGGGCTTTCTACCAGTGTCCTAGGGCTCCACAATCCAGCAAACTACTCCTGAAATGGATGACTTGCTGTCTGCAGTGTTTCGTCATCCATATTGAAGTCCACAGTGGCCTGTTAGCCTTATTTTTCCCTATTCAAAACCTATCCATCTGTACGTAAACTTGGTAGAGTCACAACCTTAACAAGACTTTCTTGTTCTTGATAGTGTTCGTTTACAGTCTTCCTGTGCTCCACATGTTTCTTTCACAGTGCAGAACAACTCAAGGCCCAGGATCTCCTCCCAGATTTTATTACACTAAGGGTGGGATTTCACCACAGACATAGGCATTTCAGCTCAGCCCAAATTCCTGTGTACAGTCAACAGCACCAAGGGCAAGGTTCATTTACCCCTGAAAATTCTTCAAACAAGTGCCAATTTCTTTCCTTTGGGTATTAAAGGAACTCAGACCAGGAAGCTTGGGTGTACACATCTATTTTGCAGATGACTAGAATGAAGATGAACACCATCCAAAGTGACTCTGAATTCTGTCTGAACACGACTTGCCTGCTGATTATTTTCCCACTGTCCGCACAAATGAAGGGAAAGCTGAGCCACGTGCCATCAGCTTGCCAGGAGCATGCTCTTTTTTTCCAGTAGGAGGGCCTACTGCTTTTGCTTTGTAACCTTTGCAGCAGGTTCTCTTTCCTTAAAAGCACGGCATAAACAAATGAGATTAGATCCACCTAAATTCAGTATGGTCCTCAACACCTTGGGTGGGACAGTCTCTGCTATTTCCTTAAAGAGCATCTGCACTCCAGAAAGACACAAAGTGCCCGCATGACAAGTCCATGTATTTTCCCAGTTCTGGCCCCTTCAGAGGCTTCTGGTCAGACACACATCCTTCCTCTTCCTCA